AGGTCGCGACACGGCCGCAGCTTTTCATTCCTGACCTCTTTATTGCTCTCAATGAGGAGTGATACTTTATTCAATTCGTAAATAAACGTTTACAGGGGCCTCCTCATTACTCACTACACATTGCTAAAATTGTCGTCATCTTGTAAGTTTTCCTTTCGAACGTCTATAGTGCGCCTACAAAATTTTCAAACAATTTCACAGGTGTACATGTATGGCAACGGAGGTATTTAAGGCTCACTTTTATTAAAATAAAATAGTATTACACACATCGAGATTAAGAGAAAATCTCGTTAAATATAACAGGCCTCGTTTATTTAGGTATTTGATAGGATGAGGAATATGAAATATTGAATATTTATGGAACTGTAATCTTGGGGCTTACTAAACAATTCTATTAAGGCTCACATACGAAATAAACATTCTGAGATAAATAACAGGATGAAGATCGATACCTACAAATCGTAAGTCTTATCGATAACGTATAAACTATACATCGTGCAATATTATTATTTCAATCAACTGGAAAATAATAAGTCATGGGGACATTTATACATAAAATGTGCTAAACATTTTGAATCAACTAAAAGATTTTTTGCCCATATTATATGTACGTATTTTGTACTTTATACTACATATTTCGTTTATCGTTGTATATATTCTCTGGGAATTCGGCACTATGTCTATGAGCGTCTCGGAGTGAATGCGAAGCGGAGGGAATGTATAAACTTCATTAAACCAAGAAATGTAGGTCGCCACTGCACCATGACAGTGGCTATGGTGAAACAATGTCAAATTAGCATTGCATCTCCATACAGGGTGCATTTACAACATGCGACTGCCCTTAGCGTTATTCATTTTTGCGCCCTGCCCTTGTAAAAGCTATTTTCAAGCGAAAGACTAAAGATACAACGAAATGATATGATGTGAGTATGATACGAAGTAACTTTTTGTATTTTTTATTTTGTTTATTTATTCTTCTTATTTTTGAGCGTCATAATTTTATTTTTGTATCTATGTGTTGTAGTGTTATGATAAATGTATATCCTATTCTATTCTATTCTATTCTGATAGATTACAGTGGGATATATCGGCCCACTGCCTTAATATCGTCGCGGCGGCGACAGCACAAGAGCTGGTTCGAGGCCGTGTCGATTTATGACAACGTGCAGATGCAAATGTGTCGCGGAAAATGGGGTCACTATGACGTGACGAGTTGACGTTTTGTTTTAATTATAATGAGAGAGTTTACGCCATAATACAAGCGGAAAGTTTGAAGAAAACCTCTGGTTGTGTTTTGTTGAATTTGAGCTGGTCTCATTAGTTAGTGGTCCCATTATATAATGCGCTGAACACATACGCATCATCTTCAGCTTAGCTCAGTCCACTGCTGGACATAGGCCTCTCCAAATAGATTAATAACAGCATTGACTCGAACCTTAATGGTTTTTAAATGTTGTAAAATTGTGATTGTAATATACCTAAGTAGTTGATTGGAAATAAATTAAAAAAAAAAAAAAAAAATGTGCACCATTTTGCCTGGTTCTCAGTTTGTCGCAACCATCTGTTGCCAGCAACCTTTTGCAGATCGTTATTCGTCATCGTAATATGTCGCTACACCAAACTACACTCAAGAACTCGTTTGCCCCATCTATTATCGGTTCTCCGACAGACATGACCGGTCCACTGCCACTTCAGCTGGCTTGTTCTACCAGCTATGTCGACGGCCTTGGTGAAAACATATGCAATGGGGCGTGACCAAAAAAAAGGCATTTGTTTATCCACAAAACATAGAAATCACAATAATCATAGACTAATAAAGTACAATTAAGTAATGTGGTTAAAAAGGTTACAGAGTCAGCGTTGCCGATTCTCAGTTTTCACCTGCAGATGTTCGCATGAGGCACCAGGCTGATGTGCTGAGTCTACACCAACTAAATATTAATAAGTAAAATGTTTATTGTCGTCTGCTAAAAACTACGTAACCCGGTTTTGGTGGAAATCCCTTTTTACTTTTCAAGCGCAATATCGGGCATTTAAAACTTAAAATATAATTTGCAGATCTTTTAGAATCAGATTTTGATTCATTTATTTCTCAAATATAACATGACAGTTAGAAATTGCACTACATGTCAAAGTATAAAAAATTATATTGAGATCGTCAGACAAAAATGAAATTATAAGAAAAATACAGAATAATTAGAAAGTAACAATTCATTAAGTAATATTGTTGTCATTAAATTACATATCAAATATCATTCTCCATCAAGGATCGTCGTAAGTTGATATAATCATAGATTGTAATTATTTATAGCAATTCTGTTTTTTGTTACTCAAAAGTTCACATTAATGGAGGTTACGAGGTTTACAAATTCAGCAAAGGTTTATACCTAAAAGTTATACCTAAAATTTTAAATTTCGTGCTGCTAGTGGTTTTAATTGGGGACCTCAACTTCTGTACTTCTGTAGGAGCCATTGCTTAGATAGTTTTTTAAATTGTAATCTGGGTTTAAGGCGATCATCACAATGCACCGCGCGTCGCGACGGCGCGCGAGACGCGGAATCACGCGCGCGGTGGCGGAGACGCAGGTCTGCGTCAACGCGCGGTGGCAGCGGTCGAGCGGCCCCGCGCCACTTAAAGTACTCGCTTCGCAGTTGACAGCCGTAGTGATTGTGTATGTAGCCGAGATCTTTCTTTGACAAGAATCAAATCTCAAATCATTTATTGCTTTAAATGTGGTAAGTAGGTCAAATTCTAGATGGTAACGTTTACAGACTAATAATAATAATAATAACGCACACACTCAACATAGCCCGCACTAGGGAAACCCTGTGTCGCGGGTGCCGTGGACACACACATAGACAACCACAAATTACACCCAAACTCACGAGAGAAATAAATGTAGGCCTTACACATATTTCTCCCGGCCTGGGAATCGAACCCAGGACCTCTGCATGGCAGTCCGGTATGGTAACCGTTCGGCCACGGAAGCAGTTGTATAATGTATCACACATTTAGCCATTTCTGACATGCAATATATAAAATATGAGTCAATGCAACATAATGTGTAATGACTAATGTAATAATGCTAAATTAAAAGCTGTGTCTCTAATTAATTACATTTTACGTTATACATACAAATAATAATTTCAAATAATTGTTTTTTTTTACATTTTACAATACCACTTAGAACCTTTTCTTAAATTATTAGTCAAATTATGAAACTACTTTAATTATAAATATGAAAATAGCAATATAATTTACTTATTCAAAATTTCATTTACACTGTAATAAGTTTTTTCTTTCAACCCCTGTTTTAATAAACTCTTAAACCTATTTAGCAGTTGTGATTTTAGTAAATCTGCCAAACTATTATAAACTTTGAGTATTGATAAACTCTGACGTCAGTACTGTACTGAGCTCTGTCCTCGCGGTCGACACGAAGCCGTGGAGCCGTCGGGCGGTGGTCGCAAAAAAAAACAAATGTTCATGTTTTGGCTCGGCTTCCGCTCCCACGGCAGTGCGCGCTACTCTAGCCTGCGTCCCGCACCCCGTCCGCGCCATGCACGATTGAGGACTCACGAGCACTCCAGAAAACCTCAAAGTTTATTGCACCAGTCCTTGCTGTTGTGCCGGTTCACATTAACACTATCAATTCCTACTGGAAAATGGTATTCTCAAAGCTGGATTTATGATCATAGTCCACCACTACGGCTTAATGCGGGATTAATATTTCTTAATGCATTGGGAGAAATATAAATCAAGACGTGAACCAATTCAGAAAGTTCAAATCAACAAGACAAGTCGTAGTAAGCATAAACGTAATAAATAAGTTACATCAGTTTGACGATCGCTGTGTTTTGTTGCGTGTATGTATACTTATATTGAAGTTATGTTCGCTTTTGGGAAGCGAACAGCGGCGCGGCAGTGCGTCGAGAGAGCAATGTGGACAATGTTAAGATTTCGTATATTTGTCGTTATTTATTGTTGTGTTAGTGTCAAGCGACTTCGAATATAGTAGCTGCTCTGAATTATATGCAACATGTAGTGGTGCCATCAAAACACAGCAAACAAGGTTTTGTGCTTTGGTATTTGTTGTGTGTATGTTGAGTGTGTGCGTTATTATTGGTCACAGTTCAGGTGATGATGATATGTCCGTCGTTGTAAGCACAGACTGGAGTAGATGACATCCATACGACTGAATGAAAAGAATGAAATGATTCCCTTCCCCCCCAGCAGGATGCGTGGCTACGACAACGGCTTTCGGAACACCGTATCGAAGGTTGTAGCGTGTCCGATATTAACATTTCACCAAAATTGACGGGCTAAGACGGCTGGGCTGGTGACGCGTGATGTTTGCTTTATTGTTTTATGTAATCTGCTAACATAGTTTTAAGTTTTTAACTGTATCCAACGAAATGGATAAGTGAATGTAATGAATAAATTGATTATTGAATTTAAAAATAAAGGAATCAATAGATAGAATAGTACGAGTGATCTGAAAATCAGATATTATCTGTCCCTAATTTATCTTCTCGCTGCCACCATCTCCATCGACTACTTTTTGCTAGGTAGTTTTAAACTGCTTTAAACAAATATACAAACTTATTTAGAAAAGTATTTTTAGTAGGTTCTGTATTAATAAATAGATTAATATAAATTATACCTTAGGCAGGTAATATTCTTATATTTTTAAAGATGCTAAATCATACATGTGAACTTTAAGATGATCAACATAAAGGATGAAATACTTCCACATAACTTCATTCCATCCCTTTCAAAGAAGTAATATCCAATAAAAAGGCATCAGCTAATCTGCTGCTGCGGAATCCAGGTAGCGATTTGTCATCGTTGGCTCGAGGGATACTACAAGGTACTCACTTTGTTTTGTTTGCAGAAAGCTGGGACGGCCGCCGGCCGGCCGAAGAACTGCAGCTCCACGCATAGGTACCTTCCGACGACAACAGGCAAGTTAGCATAGCAGGCGGTGGATGGTGGTGCGGGTGCGGAGTGCGGCCCAGTGCGGGTGCAGGCATATCGCACGCAGAGACCGCGCGGGGCGCACGTCGTCGTCAACACTCGGCCGTACTCGCATCGAAACTATTCTCGCGGATTCAGTTGCTCCAAATTAATTAATGGTGAGAGTTTGTGTATGACTGTGGAACTGTGCATTTCTTTGGAAACGTAAGAAACAACGCTGCTGTTCATTTTTGGTGAGTTTTGTTCATTTGATTGTTTTGCCGGTATTTAAAGTTATGTTAAATGTTTTGCAAACATAGTATATTATACATATACTATGCATATGTTATACAAATATGTATATTTAAGAAAAAGACTGAAATAATAAGCTCACTAAAGTTTTGTAATTGTTATGGAATTTATTTATTACCACATTTTTTGTGTAATTGAGGGTAGGAATATCTTAATACATATTTCAATTGTGTGTATCAACCTGCATGCGTCCGGACACGGGTCTCTTCTTCATAAACACCTAATCATAATGTATACATACTTAATGAAAACAAATGTAATTTTATTTAGGTTACTACACAAAAGATGTCTAAATATTTCAAAACCCACAACATACGTGTTATGAATTCCCAATTTACAACTAGGGTATTGCATAATCGTTAGCTCACTTAAATGTTAGGTTCATGTGAATTAACTTTAATCTTTTTCCGTCATTACTAATAGCCGGCACTTACAGCTCTGAATATTTAAAGTCCACTGAATTAACTAACGATCGCGTCTAAATCACCAGCCGCTTTCGCGAAATTCCTGCGCCGCGCCGCAGTGACCGCACCAACAACAGCAGACACTGGAAAAATGTTAATTAGATCACACCTCATCAAACTTCGATTTAAATCTTACAAAAATACTGAAATGATACAAAGTTAATTGAACTCGTCTTTTACCTATCTTATCTTGTACCTAGACTATTGCCAATATTCGTTTGTTCAGATAGCACGAAGAAAAACACAACATTCCCTACTATTTTTTCAAAAACTGACTCCCTTTCAATGATAAGACGACTTTGGTATTTTACATAGTGTCTCTTCGTTCGTGGGGTCAAAATTACAGCCGATGCTAGTAATTACTTTCTTTCGCAATGTTTAGTTTTAAAAACAACGTAAATTCCCTTTAAGAATTGTCATTGCATTTTTGTGTGTTGTGAAAACGCCCCAAGAACGAGATGTGCCCTTTTGTTATCGTCCGATGCACTTTTGTTTCATTGTGTCTTTTTTACTTTTGTTGATTAGTAGAGGTACTCGTACATACCTCAATATCTTACTTACAATTTTCTGCAACTCTAATGTTGTATTAACAACTGCCAATGCAACGGATTATGACGAAAATAGCAACAACGAATGAGTGAATAAAGTACGTTTCTATGTGTAATGTTTGACCGGAAACAGATTAACTATGGGTACCTACTTATTTTGTTACTGTCAGTCAACTCTACACGACTTATGTTTCCACAAATAAATAAGTTACGAAATTGTAATTAGTTTCAAGTTATTCATTACAAATAAACACTTTCTATGTATAAACTAGAATATTCGTAAATGGAAGTCCATTGATATCGACAGAACTACAAAAGTGATTAACTAATGACCGAGGAAAATACTAATTGCGATATTACCCAACAACCGACGATCGACCAACGGCACACTGACGATGCCACATTAACCCGAATAATATTAATCTTCACGACGCAAAACACGTCTAATTTGTATGTATGATATGATTATGTGACCCTTGAGCAACCGAAGGTTACCTACTTTTTATTCCATGATTGATTTTTTTTTTAATTTATCGAAGCTTTTATCAGTGCAAAAATTCTACATCACTTCATAACACTGATTTAGGGTCGTATTCCAGAACTCTACTCAATGCTCAAGTCAGAACTTGAGTATGATTTAAAGCACTGCAAATACGATCCTAATGGCAAGGACTTGAGTATGGTTTCTTCGTATGACTTTTTCGCCATTAGGGTCGTATTTCCAATGCTTTAACTCATACTCAAGTCCTGACTTGAGCATCGAGTAGAGTTCTGAAATACGACCCTTAAACTGGCGACTCCTGGATTGTATGTCCTGTGTAATGCATTTGTAACGGATGAACATACTTTTTAAATAGCGGACTTCGCATATCCAGTTGTTTCTAGAAAATGGTATTTATGATAATATTTTACAATGCAAGAGACAGTGCGTCAGTTGCGTCGATTCTTTTTGTAGAGAGAAAAACGTTTCGGTGAATTATTATTTTAAACCAGTTTTGTGATTTATACAAAAAAATAGTCTCACAAATAAATGGTTTATTGCCTTCACGTATCGAAAGGGACGTGCCGTGACCCGTTACAGCGCAGCGGGAGGCTAAAGCCTATAATTTGTAATGAAGTGTTTAGCAATAAGCTGCTTATCTCTTCTTTGTGTTCACTTCCCTCAAAATTACGTCAAGTCCCTAATCAGGATCAACTTTAAATAAACCCGCTTAAGTTACTGATGATCTAATTAACTACAAGATCGTTTAATTAATCTTGATTTCCCGCCTATAATTTCATTGCAATCGTTGCTGCTTGCACTGCTGCGTTCGCGCATTTCTGTCAACGATGACGTGAGGCTATTTGCGAAATTTCCTTTCGCATTAAAATTTGTCGTCGCGTTCGTTCGTCGCGCGCGCATGCTGATCGTGCACTAAATAGTAGGGATTTGATTTTCCTACGGTCATTATAGTACGGGCCACACTTAGCCCAAGCTATTAAAGTATGTCAAACTTTTATTGTACGTAAACACAAAAGAGTGTTAAAAAAATCCATTTTATTGGAAATTGTATGTCACAATTTAAACTGCACCTGTAAAATATATACATATATATGAATATTGTAGTTTTGATTGAATATTTAATTAAGTTTGACGATGTCACTTTGGTGATAGCACATGTCATATGAATTTGCAAAGGTACAAAATGCGAGTTGAATCTTATTTTATTACTATGTGGTTTGACCAAACCACTATTGCGAATTTGCGACTCGCTGCGTTGGAACGAACTCGTTGCAAGTCGCAGGCGCATCGTGTATTGCAGTGGTCAGCGGCAATGGCGAGTGGCACACATGTTAATTGCAACCTCATTGACGTAAACGGTTGAACTACAAAATGCGCCAATTACTTTCCACTACGCGTACAGGTCACTTTATTAACCGATTCGTCGCAAAGCCCGAGTCATCGAAAACGCTAGTAAAATGAATTAACTTATTTAAGTAGCTGCTTTTCTCGCGATCGTCGGTGGCGAAACTTTTGTTCTCCGTTGGAGAAAGGTTGCTTCTTAATCGTGAGGTCGGCGGTTCAAAATCCTGCAGTGGCATATATACCTACGACTATAATTTCTAACTCACGTACATTTGTGAATGTATGGTCACAATATCTTGTGCCAACGCGGTGAGGGAGAGCAGCGGCGTGAGGAAGCCTGTATGTTGAACAACTAGTACTACTTCTAAACTTTAGTAAACTGGCTCTGTGGCCGAACGGTTACCATGCCGGACTGCCACGCAGAGGTCCCAAATTCGATTCCCGGGTCGGGAGAAATATTTGCATGGCCTACATTTATTTCTCTCGTGAGTTTGGGTGTAATTTGTGGTTGTCTATGTGTGTGTCCATGGCACCCGCGACACAGGGTTTCCCTAGTGCGGGGCTATGTTGAGTGTGTGCGTTATTATTATTATTATAGTACACTTTAGTAGCAGTAGCGCTCCTTGTCAAACAATTCGTCCCGGCAGTACTTAACTGCCACCTTACCTATTTCGCCGCCAAGCTGCAATGCTCACATTACTGCGTTCTGGTTTTGAAGGGTAAGGGTGCTGGTGAAATTGCAGGCACATGGGACTTGTCAACTTATGTGTCAGGGTGACGGACGCAGTGGCAGTGCCTCTAAGATCTTCGCGATTTAAAGCTCTGAGTGGCATTGCAACTGTTACGGACAGGCGTGTCGCTTACCACCAGGCGCACGGACTTGTTCGTCCCGTCACTTGGTATTATAAAAGCTTTTCAAAGGTTTTTCACTAATATTTTAAATTGTTTCTTAAAAATTTTAATTATTATTTAATTATTATTAATTGTTTCTTAAATAAAGTGTTTTAATAAATAAAAAAAAAAGGTTCGCCGCCATTGGAAAACGTATGAAGTCCCCAGCCCGCACAGCTGGTGTGGTGATGTTCTTAACCTCTTCTCAGAGAGACTCGTGCCCAGCAGTGGGACGTATAACGAGTTGATGACGTCTCGGGATAACAAATAATGTAAGCGTAATGCAGGATGAATTACAAGTACACAAGAGTTCGCGGAAGCCAAACGCGATGCGTTGGGTACCCGTACCCCTGGCGTAACAGGTTTTTTAGCAAACAGTACGATACGAATAACGTTTTAAACTAGTTAGAATAAAGAGGGTTAATTACTTACATAACGTCAAAGCAACGCGGAGGTAGGCATTTAATTAAAATAAAATGAAAAATTAATGAAAAAAAAACACAGTTTGTGTCGGCCTCGACACCGCGGTTCTTGCTAGTCATTGTTTGTTATAGAACCTTACAACTTCCGTTGATCTGAATATGTGCCGATTTAAATATGACTAAAATAATTTGGGATCTGACATCAAATACCAATTATAGTAAGCTATGTCAATAAAAATTTAAAATATTTTCATATTTGCAACCAGCCGGTGTCACGCTTCGAAACGCATCAAATTCAATTTATTCATTGATATTGTATTAAGTAGGTACTCGGTACAAGCAAAAAAACATCGACCACAAAAAATATGGCTGACTTGATTTCGTTGATCCGCCTGAGGCGGTTGATTGATAAACTTTTTATCCATTCAATAAAATATCAATTTGATTTGTTTTTTTTTGGGTTATGTACTTACTGTCGCGTGCATTTATTATTATTAACAAACACCAAAAAATGTCTACTCCCTTATCAAACAAAAGTCAATTAAATTTGTGTAATATTTCGTTGAAACGTTAATTGTATGAGAAATTTTTACAAGGACAGAATATTATGTTATCATTTAATTTTAATTAAAATGACAGGAGAGGTACATTGCTTGACAACTTGTGCCGAGCCAACCCACACAAGTATCATGGTCATTATGAATATTTGATCATCACTATAAATCGAAGTAAGATTGTTTGGATTCATTTAATGCAAATAGCTTTAACGAG